AGTCTGTAACTTAACACAATAAAACCCACCCTGGGTCCTAGCACCCTAGAGACTAAACCAATTCCATCAGCAGGGCGCCTGCGCCACAAACAGTGGAGAGGCCCCTGGAGAGCGGGTGCCAAAGGGACTCTCGAGAAACTCAATTCTGTGTTCTTCCCCCCCAGGATGGCAGGAAGGGGATCCCCCGGAGCCTCTCTTGTTTGGTGTAACTTAACACAATAAAACCCACCCTGGGTCCTAGCACCCTAGAGACTAAACCAATTCCATCAGCAGGGCGCCTGCGCCACAAACAGTGGAGAGGCCCCTGGAGAGCGGGTGCCAAAGGGACTCTCGAGAAACTCAATTCTGTGTTCTTCCCCCCCAGGATGGCAGGAAGGGGATCCCCCGGAGCCTCTCTTGTTTGGTGAGGCATGGGGGAACCGACCCAGTCAATGACAAACCGAACAGCGATCAGTCACCAGGACCAGGTGGTATTTGGAAAGGGCTGAAATACACACTTGATGAAATAGTGGCGCTGGTATCTCGCCTGTGCCTTACGCCAGCCTCTGGACCGGGGACTGGAGGTATCTGGTGTGAGAGGGATTTTTGTTAAAAAGGCACCAGAATCCATCTGACAATTGCAGGCGAGTGAGCCTAACTTCAGGAGCAGGCAAACTGGTTGAAAGGAGAGTAAAGATCAGACTGATCAGGCACATGGGTGAACACACTATTTTGGAGGAAGACTCATCTATTTTTTTTTAAAGGGAAAGCCTGCCTCACCAAGCCATGAGAATTTTTTTAGCAGCCCAACAAATATGTGGCCAAGGATAAGCCAATGGATATAGTGTACTCAGACTGTGGGAGGGTTCCCCCCCAGAGGCTCTTAAGCAAAGGAAGCTGTCTTGGGGTCAGAGGGAAAGTCCTCTCCTGGATCAGTAACTGGTTAAAAGACAGAAAACAAAGGGTAGGGATAAATGGTCAGTTTGCACAATGCAGAGAGGTCTCTAGCGGTGTCCCTCGGTGATCTGTACGGGACTGGTGCTGGCCAGCGTATTCATACACAATTTGGAAAAAAGGGTCAACGGTGAAGCAGCAAAATTTGCAGACAATACAAATGACAGAGGATCGATAGGTCCAAAGCAGGCTGCAAGGAGCTACAAAGGGATCTCACAAAACAGGGTGTCAGGGCAACAAAATGGCTGATGAAATTCAGGATTGCTAAATGGGAAGTAATGGCATTCACCAGGGTGACTCAGCCAGCCAGGGAGAGGAATGCC